CAGTCTCGTACCAGTTCTCTGCTGCTGTACTCGTACTCAGTGTGACTTGCTGTTTCCGGCATTCGGGAATCCAAGACTTCGACTTTGTGCCTTGCCACTGTGTCTGCGTCCGATCCTCAGTCCGAGTCCGTCGTGTCGAGTGAGTGAGTGTGTGTGTGTGCTCTCACTCTCTCCCTCTCTCTCCTCTCCCTCGGCTCACCCTCAGCCTCACGCTCGTTACATAAAGCTTCACAAATACCTTGATTGAAGCTTATTCACAAAGCAAAGCTACACAGAGAGCGCATTGTCAGGACAGCAAATAGCCAGGCTTCACAAGCACAACTGAGACCAGACTGTCCATGATAACCCTTCTCTTTTTTTTCCGGAAGCGGGGGGCTACACTAGGAGCCACTGACTCCATCGTGATGGCCCAGTCAACGAACCTATAACAAGCGGATCAGGGACACTTTTTCCTTGGAATTATTTCTGAGCCTGCGCGGTGTCCGTTAGCCTCCTCCGTTAGCCTGCATCTGAACCTGTACATGCCTCTCACACATCGAGCTGCCATGGGTTCCACCGCCTCCGCTAGCCCCATCCTTCGTTTCTTTTCTGAAAGCTGATAACGATAATGAAGATGGTCAACGGGCCCAGGAAAGAAAGAGAAATCCCTTGGCAAAGGCAAGTGGAGTGGTGAGAGGTCAATTTTCTCTTTTCAGCGTTTGTGGAGGACGCAGATAACGAAGATGATCAACGGCCAGAAAGGGAAGAAGAATCCCAGAAGCAAGGTCCCACACGGCGTAGATACAACACCCAGATTCTTTCTTCTTTCTTTTTGAAATAACAGCGGGCGCGGCACGTTTTGAAACCCTAAAGGCCAAAAAAAATTGTGACCGCAAAGAAACCGTGCACCAAGTCGAAACGAGCTGTTTCGGTCCAAAAGTATCTGTTGGGCATTTTCTTGTTTTTTTTTGTTTTCCCCTCTGACACCACGGGCGACCCCTGTAAATATGACACCCGGTCGGACACCACGACCGTCGGTACTTACATCGCCTTTCCGAACTGGGCGCCGTTTTCTTTGCCGACCCACGTTTCTTTTGCAAGGAAACTACGCGGGAGTCACGAAAATGAGTTATAATTGCACTATGGGCCAAGATACAGTTTCCAATTGCAGTTCGGGCAATGTATACAACCCAGCTTTCTGGCCAGGTAGGGTGCCCGAAGTGCAATTGCAAACTGTATCTTGCCTCATAGTGCAATTATAACTCGTCTTTGTGACTCTACTGAAGTTACCCCTTTTTTTTGCCCATTCGTTACTCAAAGGTGACATGCACGTACTTACCTCTTTTTTAATGCTGTGTGAGACCTCGCCCCTGAGGTGGTTGGTTATGCTGTGCGAGACCTCGCCCCTGGGGTGGTTGGTTAGCAGAAGAGAATCCGCAAAAAGAAGAAGACTGCGCTCATCTTCATGATTAGGAAGGAAGGTACCCTGCAAATGGCAGGAGTGTGAGGCCTTGTAGAGAGATCTGGGGATTTGCTGAGGGAGGAAGGCAATCCAGTGGCGAACCGGGGGGGGCTGCCTTGACAACCTATGGGTCCAGGGATAGTCTAGGTGGCGAGAACAGGTCAGCTATGGTTGACGTTGGTTAGGATGGCATTGTCTCTGAGATGTGATGTCCTGGTACAGGGAGAGCTAGGAGTTGTTCCAGGATTAGGAGACCAGAATTGCTGATATAGCATAGTCTTTTTTTTTTTTCTATACTAATCATCATAATCTTTAGCATCATCATCATTAGTATGATTATCTCACAGTTTACACAGAAATTCATCATCATCATCATCATCATCATCATCATATGAGGGACGCTGAGCCTGGTTCTCAGCATGTTCTGTTCGGTCACTCCGGGTAGACTGTGAGGACCCCGGCCTCAATCTTCTTAACCAAAAAAAAAAAAACAAAGGAAAAGGAAGAAAAAGGAACGAACATGGAAGACCCCGTAACGCCTGACTCGAAAGGAAGTAAGGAAATGAAGAAGAGGGAAGAAAAGGGAAAGAAATGAACGGAAAGGAAGAAAAGTAAGGGACGGAAGGGAAGGAAGGAAGGAAGGAAGGAAGGAAGGAAGGAAGGAGGGAGGGAGGGAGGGAGAACGGTTCAAGAAGCGATCATTACAAAGACCTTGCATCTCATAATGAGAATCTCTATTTCAATAAGCACAGTCCTCATGATGAAGCTCAACTTTGGAAGCAAAAATACCACAATGATGATGATGACTTTTTGCTCGTCTTCTTTTCTTTCCCATGCTCTTGCTACTTAACGACCATACGTGATAAGATTACATCATTACACGTATTGAAGTGGCATATTACTTTGTTTGTTTATCAGGAAAGGGGGGGGGGGGGGGGGGGGGGGGGGGGGGGGGGGAAGCATTACCTGGAACAAGTTGTCCAAGAAAAAATGTGACAGACTTCCAGCAGCAATGAGAAGAAAGCATTGTGTCAAAGTCAATCCACCTGCAGCCTGCCAGGGACACAGGTTATGCACAATCACATCAGAATCACTCCTGCAGCGTAGGTACTAGGTACCACTTATCACCTCACCATCGCCACATCATGAAAATCACTCCTCCCTTTGTCCTAGCCCTCCTCCTCCCCCTCCTCCTCCTCCTCCTCCTCCTCCTCCTCCTCCCATCATCATCATCATCATCATCATCATCATCATCATCATCATCCACAACAACCTGATCGTGACCACAACCAAGATCTTGTAACTGTCCACCTCCATCATCATTATCATCATCAATTTAATCATCAACGACCTCACCATTGCCACCACCACCACCACGATCTTGCAACCTTCATTATGTTCATCATCAGCAGCAGAAGCAGCAGCAGCATAACGTGCTTTCAATTTGTGGCAAGCAAGCCAGCAAGCTAACGAATTCAACACCGTGCAAAGTTTTAAGGGTGACAATGCAACCCATGCCCATCCATGAGCGGCCGTACAAGGGAGGGTATTCATTAAACCACCTCTCCCTTGTACAACTGTGCATGGCAGGTTACCTGGAAAAGGCCTTCCCCGTCCTTTTTTCAGTTGCTCAGTTGGATTGACGATCCGACGACCACACAGTTCCTTCCCTGTTTGCACGCGATGATGATAAGTTATTCAGGAGGTGGTGATGGTCTAACGCCACCCAAACCCAACGTGTCACGTAGCTTCCCACACCCATTTACAACATTCGCAATGCATAGAAATCTTCATCCCTCTTAAGACTAGACAGGCTGCATATGGAGTGGTGACCCACATGGACTGCAGCCAAAGTAGACTACTCAGTTTGCGATAAGGCAGTTGTCTCAAGCAATCCCGGCGCTTTTGAAGAGGGATTCAGAGTTATTTTTACCCATCTGGTTTCACTGACAGATTCGAACTCGGGTCTGTACTTCAACAGTTCATGGGTGTACCAACTGAGCAAGACCTGTTGGTTGAAGAGGGATTGCTCCTCGTGCGAACACGCAAAAAGCGTATCTCTTCTTCCTTCTTTTTTCCTGGCAAAGTTTACATCGGGAGTCTTTTTTCTTGGGACTGCTGACTCAACAAGTGAACAATCTGATGGGGTTCACATTCGAACTGCTGGCCCAAGAAGTGAACCACCTGATGGGGTTTACATTGGGACCGCTACCTTACCAAGCAACCCCCTCACGAGTCCATTTTTTCTTTCGGTGTCCGATGAGGGTTGGTGCTGCTATATCCCATGATCTTTAGCTACTCTCCAATTCCACCCGGTGGAATGCAGATGTCTTAATTCCATGATGGGAACACCTCTGTGTACCAGACCTGGGTGAATGATACCATAACGGTGTTGGTTTAGTTGAGCTCTGCATTCGCATATATATCCCCCATCCACCAACCGAAAAACAACTGGCATGGCTTCCTGGTAGTATCTCCCCCCTTCCAAATCTGTGCTTTGAGACGCTTGCTAAGCTCCCCCCACCCCAAAATGCTGTCGTTGAGCATCTCTATTCCCAGGCCAGCGTAGCTCGTTGTACCCTGTATCAACTCACTGCAGCCGTATTCTCCAGTTTCCATAGATCAGTCCAATGGGTCGGGATCAGACAACTACTCCCTGAAATCTGCTACTTGCTTCTCTAAGGCAGCACATCCTGACCATTTAAACCGATACGAGTCGACCAATCAAAAAGGGTGTCCTGACCCTCCTCTAAGGTTAACTGCTTAGTTGGCCAATTGAAGTCCCAGCCCTCAAACCCTGCTCGAGCGGATGCAGCTGTCCCAGTCCTCCCCCTCAAATCATGTCCCCCATTAACCAACCCAAGTTGTCTCCTTTTTCTCGCACGCTGAATGTGATTGACAAATCCCTTTCTCAATCCGAGGTGTCCTTCCAAAGCTCCCAGCCAGGCAGGGTTCTCCATCATGCTCCCGAGAATGGCTATCCATCAGACCCAACTAGCATGAGAGCTTTCAGAAATAACACATGAGGAGTTACGTAAGACAATAACTAAATAAATACTGTACTCAGTGTATTGTGAATTATCTGAAGCCTCACCCCGTTAAGTAAAACCGCACGCACGTGAAGTTGTATAAAATAAAAGTGAAAAAAAAAAAAAAAAACACTGGTTTGGTGAGTTATCTAAAGCCCTCCATAAACTGGTTTGGATCTGCTTGCTTACTACCAGACCTCATGAGTTGGTAGTGGACTAGGGTATGAAACCGAGGTTGGGCGATTCATTGTAACGCTTTTGGGGGTCCACGTTTTGATCAACCGACAGACCGTGCGAGCTTTCAGGATCAGCTACTGGAAGATAAGGTCACCAGGTACTGGAAGAGAAATGCCACCAGCTTGATTGATAGTTGGATGGAGCAGGACATACCAACGCGACTTTGCTGATATCAGCATGGGCAGCTTTGTCATTCGTTAGGTGTATACTATATATACACTATTTGTGCTAGGGTTTAGGGCTTTATCAGCAGAAGACCGCGGACATCCTAGGGTTTAGGGCTTTATCAGGCAGTCGGCCAGGGGCATTGGTCTGTTTTTCAGGCATGTTTTTCTTAAGGGGGACTTTTTTTGTTTTTCAAGGGAGCATGCTTTTTTTCAAGGGGGAATAGACGACGGTAGGGGGGTGTAATAATCCTCCCTAAAGGAAGCAATAATTAATAAACAGTGTCAAAGTTCCCCGGGCTGTAATGTGAAGAAGTGTTGGAATCGAGTACAATTGTGTTTCTGACTTGCAGGTGGAAGAGGACCCGGACTGACGCTCCCCAGAAAAGGAGCTGGACCCAAGAGGGTCTTTTTTTAAAGTGAACAGGAAAGGCAGAGCCTAAGTCTGCCTTCTGGAGAGCGGTACTTTTCGCATCGAATGTGATAATACCAGCACAACACAAGGGGAGCCCGCAACAAGAGGTCCAGAGTTGCATGAGATCGTGTATGTATTATAGGGCTTGCCACACCACTCGCCAAGGCCCAAGAGCCAACATGTGTTGCATGCCGAACACTATTAACGAGCCGTGCTGCCTAGAAACTGGGTGTCATGCATGTTATACACCGGCGGCAGTGGCAACTGTTTGTTGTGCTGAGAATGCTCAGCTGGTAGGTCTTCCATGTCATCACTCACCTCATTCCTAGTCCTGAGTCTTCTTTTATTCTTCCCTATGTTCTCATCTCTATTCCACTCTCCTTCCTTTCCCTTTGTCTTCCTTTGCTTTGTCTTCCTTCCAGGCATTCCTTCCAGACGATGCTGTAGCATCCCGTTGGATGCTACAGTTTCTACTAGGACATTGTGTCCTCCGCGAGAGTAAGGCCTCACACATTGTGCTAATTTTCTACATGAAGTGTGCTGCCTCTTTTGCATAGCGTGCAAGTGAGCCATCATCCTCCTCCCCCACCGAGTGTCTAGATACTGTGTTCCATATATGTGCTGTGCTCAGCTGGGGGGAAAGTACTTGGGGTGCCCAATCTAGCACCAACTGAGGATGCACAGTGGAGGCTGAGGACCGATGGGATCAAGCCCGCAACCTCCCCGTTGCGACGACTGAGCTCTAACCAACTGAGCTACTGCGCTTGACATCACTCTGAAACCGTTCTTTTGCGTTTTCCTCTGCGTTTTTCCTTTTTCTGTACTTCAGCTGTTTTCAGGGTCTCTCTTTTATTTTTCCTTTAAGCTCCCCCTTTACTATGGGCCTCGCTGCACTACTCTAGACTCTCGAATTTTCGAGAGTGGGTCGTCGCTGCACTTACTCTCGGTCAGGAAACTCTCGAAACCCGATCGAGAGCTGCCAGAAGGCACTCTATAATGCAACTCTCGAAACGTCGAGAGTCCCCCGCCTGCAAAAATGGAATTTGCCAGTGTCCTCGGGAGTTGCCCGCCGACAGGCTCGTTTTTTGAGAGTGGACCTCCTGTCCCGGCGGCCAGACTTCATCCGTAGCGCAGTGGTGCAGCTCTTCTGTCGAGTAGGACGATGCCCAGGGTTTCGAGAGTTCACCTAGTGTAATAGGTTATAGAGTAAGTGCAGCGAAGGCGGGTATTTCGAGAGTCTCGCCTCTCTGACAATGCTAGCCGAACTCGAGAAATATTTCGCGGGTCTAGAGTAGTGCAGTGAGGCCCTATGCCTCTCATGCACTGGAATTGCAGGTGTTTATGGATTGAACAAGATTCAAGCTGGAGAAATGGTCGAATTTCCAGTGGTGTTAAAGGAATGGCACTGAATCTAGAAAATGAGTGTAGGAATTGTGGTTTTTGGTAGTGATACTGCCATTAAAGAAGGGCTGCCACATTGATGTAGTTAAGTGTGCACTGCCCATAGGCAGCCCTCCGTTGGGGAGGCTACTGGATGGAAGATAAGGGTTGGTAGAGGGGTGGACTGTCGCAGTTTGCCCTCTTACCAAAGGGGAGATCGGAGGGAAAATTGGGGTCTCTTTAGGGTTAGCGCAACTTTGTCCTCAGGGGGAGCGGGGGAGGGGGGGGGGAGGGGCTTCTGACCCTTGGAGTAGGTTGGGGCTAAATGGGGGAGATCAGAGTGCAGATTGAAGTTTCTTCAGGGTTAGTGGGTGTCCTTTGGGGGGAGAGGCTTCTGCCCCTTGGAGTAGGTTAGGGACTACAGGATAGCTCATCGCCAGTGCATTGCCCAGGCAAACTTGAGAATCAAAAAGGAATCATTCCGAAAAGTTCAGAGGCTCGGTGCAGAGGAGGAATCCGCCTCGGCAAAAATGGGCTCGGATGTACTGGTGGTTTAGATGGAATTAACTTTTCGGGGCGATGAAGGGGTCATAAGGGTAGGGTTGCACTGCAGCAAATCGCGGCACAGCACCAACAGGGGGACAAGAAAAAACTGATAGACCGCGCCTGGCGCGGTTGCGCAGCCAAGGGGCGGAGGGGTGACGCGCAAGGAGTGCGGAGGCATTTTGTGGGGCAAGGGGGAGGGAAAAAAAAGGGTCAGCAATAAGGACGTTTTGGGCCGTGCGAAGGAAAAGGCAGACACCACAGGGCATTTGTTGACGATCCCACCAAGTGACTTCGCCCACCGCAGAGAGCAGGAGGGAAGGGCTTTTTT